AAGCCATCCCGCCCAGCGTCATACCTGCAGGGTCAAAGGAATGCATGACCGGGACGAAAGGACACTTGTTAGTCTCCCAAACATGTAATTCCTTTGGCTTCATTCATTGAAAAATGACTCAAATACCTCCCGCTCTGTGAGGCCGATGTGGGTCACCTGCTCCAGAGGTACCCCTCTCTCTTCAGAGAGCCTCAGGGCTTTGTATGACTCAAAGCGGATCTTGTACTACCTGTTGGTTTTCATGTCTTTTATCTCCTCAACTAAACCATAATTTCTGGAGGGTAAGAAACATGCCTTGTTTACCTTAATTTCCCCCAGTTTCGGTCCACAAACATCAAGTGAGCACCTCCTCCTAATGCTGGACATTGGAGGGGTTGCAGGAGCTGGCCCCTGACGCCCAGCACATTCGCAGGGAAGGGCTGGCAATTCCAGGAGCCTCCTCCTGGTCACTGCCCCTGGATCTCTCCCACGGCCATTCTGAACAGCTCGTCCCGGGTCTAGGGAAGTTGGTTCCCACCCCTGTGTGCGGCCGTGACTCTGGCTCATGATTCCCCTTTGGTTCGCTCGTCTTGTCTCCAGCTCTGAACAGCTGTGTCTGCCGAGAGGGCTCTGACTGTCCTCTAACAGGGCCACCCCTCTGCTCACTGGCCCCCCAGCCCCCAGCCAGGAAACAAACCCAGCCTCACCAGGTGGGGACCGGCCCTATCCCCTCCTGGCCCAGCCATCATCAGCCCTCTGTGCTCTGCTTCCTCCAAGCCACTTCCCCCATTACAGGATTTCTCCACAGAAATCCCTGGCTCTCCTCCCTTCAAGCATTTCCCGTCACCCAGAGACTCCTTGTTGCTCAGGTATGAATACCTTGCTCTAAAAACAAATCAGTTTACAACAGCCAAAAGGTGGGAACAATGCAAGTGTCCGCGGACAGATGAAAGGAGAAATGAAACAGGGTATAGCCAGCCAGGCGCGGTGGCTCACGCCTGTAATTCCAGCACTTCAGGAGGCCAAGGCGGGCGGATCACCTGACATCAAGAGTTCGTGGACTCTTGGCAAACATGGTGAAACCCTGTTTCTACCAAAAATACAAAAATTAGCTGGGTATGGTGGTACATGCCTGTAATCCCAGCTACTCGAGAAGCTGAGGTGGGAGAATTGCTTGAACCTGGGAAGCGGAGGCTGCAGTGAGCCAAGATCACAGCACTGCAGTTCAGGCTGGGTGACAGAGTGAGACTCCGTCTCAAAAACAAAAAGCGGGTATATTCGTACATCCACACAATGGAATATGGTATGTTTATACAAGGGAATATTGTTTGGCAATAAAAAGGAAGGGAATGCTAACACACGGGTGAACCTTGAGGGCATTCTGCTAAGTGAAACAAGCCAGCCACAAAAAGGCAAATCCTGTATGGTTCCACTTCTGTGATGTTCTTACAATAGTCAAATTCATAGAGACAGAAAGTGGATGAGTGGTTGCCAGGGGCTGGGAGACAGGGGCATGGGAATTAGTGTTCAACGGGTAGAGATTCAGCTTGAGATGAGAAAAAGGTTCTGGCGATGGATGGTGGTGATGGCAGCACAATAACATGAATGTACTTAATGCTGTCCACTTACATGGTTAAAGTGGTCAGAGGTTTTGGCGGTTGTTTTTGTTTTTGTTTTTGTTTTTGAGACAGAGTCACGCTCCGTCGCTCAGGCTGGAGTGCAGCTGCACGATCTCTGCTCACCACAACCTCCACCTCTCAGGTTCAAGTGATTATAGTGCCTCAGCTTCCCAAGTAGCTGGGATTACAGGTGTGCACCACCACACCCAGCTAATTTTTGGTTTTTTTTTTGTTTTTGAGGTGGAGTCTTTCTTTGTCACCCAGGCTAGAGTGCAGTGGCACAATCTCGGCTCACTGCAACCTCTGCCTCCTTGGTTTAAGCAATCCTCCTGCCTCAGCCTCCCAAGTAGCTGGGATTACAAGTGGGTGCCACCACACACAGCTAATTTTTGTATTTTTAGTAGAGATGGGGTTTCACCATGTTGGCCAGGCTGGTGTCGAACACCTGACCTCACGTGATCCGCCTGCCTTGGCCTCCCAAAGTGTCGGGATTGCAGGCATTAGCCACTGCACCTGGCCTGGTCAGTTTTATGTTAAGTGCATTTTACCACAATATTTAAAAAATTAAATAAATAAGGCTGGGTATAGTATCATAGGCCACCTGCAGTCCCAGCTACTTGGGAGACTGGGGTGGGATGGTCGCTTCAGCCCAGAAGTTTGACTGTATCCAGCCCAGGCAATGTAGCAAGACCCCATCTCCTAAAAAAATTAATAAAGGCGCTGGGTGTGGTGGCTCACACCTGTAATCCCAGCACTTTGGGAGGCTGAGGCAGGCAGATCACGGGGTCAGGAGATCGATATCGAGACCATCCTGGCTAATACGGTGAAACCCCATCTCTACTAAAAATACAAAAAATTAGCCGGGCATGGTGGCGGGCGCCTGTAGTCCCAGCTACTCAGGAGGCTGAGGCAGGAGAATGGCGTGAACCCAGGAGGCAGAGATTGCAGTGAGCTGAGATTGTGCCACTGCACTCCCGCCTGGGTGACAGAGAGACTTCATCTCAAAAAAAATAAAATAAAATAAAATAAAATGAATAAATAATAAATACAAACTTAAAGATTAAAATAAACAAATCAAGCTTCCTCACTGATCTGGTTTGGACCTGCATCCCCACCAAATCTCATGTCGAATTGTAGTCCCCAGTGTTGGAGGTGGGACTTGGCGGGAGGCGGTTGGATCATGGGGGTGGATTTCTCATGAATGGTTCAGCACCATCCCCTTGGTGCTGTTCTTGTGATAGTGAGTTCTTGCGATAGTGAGTGAGTTCTTGCAAGATCTAGTTGTTCAAAAGTGTGCAGCACCTCCCCGCTTGCTCTGTCTTGCTGCTGCTCTGGCCATGTAAAGTACTCCTCCCCCTTCACCTTCTGCCATGCTTGTAAGTTTCCTGAGGCCTTCCCAGAAGCCAAGCACACACTGCCATATTTCCGGTACAGCCTGAGGAACTGTGCCTGAGCCAATTAAACCACTTTTCTCATAAATTAGTCTCAGGTTTTTCTTTGTTGCTGTTTGAGAACTGACTCATCCACTCATTACCCATCTGCATTCCCCCCAACACAGCCTCAGTAACAAAAACCCACCATTATTGAGAACAACCACTACCCGCCAAGAAATGTAGCCTGTGGGCACCTAGGAATCTAGTGCTGTGGGCTGGAGTTATTTAAGGCTCCCAAGGTCAGGCTGGAGAGGAGGCCCAGGAATCCCTGACAGGCTCCCCTCCAGTCACAGTGGCCAACTCGTGCCGTTCCTCCCACCCAGCCACCCCCTCTGTGCCTTCCTCTATGGTCTTCCTGTGCCCATGAGCTCAGGGAGCCACTCGCTTCCTCCTCAGCTCTCCAATACCACCCACTGTCCATCCTTCTCTGGGACAGCATTCACCACCTTCCTCTGGTGGGTGCTATTTTTATTTCTTGTGGTTTTTTTCCTCAATGCCCTCACTTTAACAGTATGCTGGCTACTTCTTACTCAAGCAGCTGTGTGCTCAGCGCGGCCTCCTCCCTGGCAGAGTTACATTGCAAGGCACTAAAGGACACAGACAAGATCACCGGATGGCTGTCAGTGAGCTTTGAGGAACCGTGAAGGATGAGACAGGTGTTCCAGATCTGGAAACAAGCAAGGTGCTTCTGGGTTTCCCAGAAGTAGTCAGAGTATGTGAATCACAGATGCACCAGCCCAGGATCTAGCGTTGCCACAGGATGGTTTGTGAGCACTTTAAGAAGGGAAGCAACGATTTCCATGGGTTCACTGAAAATGACTTGGGCATGGACCTCACTTACCTGTTTTTTAAGCTTTTTTTTGAAAAGACAGCTTTACTGAGATATAATTCACATACCATAAAACTCATTGTACAGTGCATGGATTTTTACATATTCAGGTTGTGCCAACATCATTACCATGTAATTCCAGAACGTTTGCATCACCCTAAAAAGAAACTGGTACCCATTTGCAGTCATTTCCCACTCCCCTCTTGCCACCCCTCCCCCCTAGCAACTACTAGCCTTTCTGTCTCTATGGATTTGCCTCCTGTGGACATTCTGTTGCCCAACAATATTCCACTGTATCAATATACCATATTTCGTTTCTTCACTCATCAGGTGATGGACATTTGGTTGTTTCCACCTTTTGGCAACACCTTATGAACAGTGTTGCTTTGAACGTTCATATACAAGTGTTTGGACATATATTTCCATTTTCTTGTGTATATACCCAAGATTGGAAATGCTGGGTCACATGCTTATTTACTTGTGAAACGTTACTGTCAAGTTGGTCTAATGGAAAACCACAGCTGACCTGATGTCACCACTCAGGGTGACCAATGCCCTATAGCAGGCCTTTGGGGGAAGATAAACAGGTATGGATACACTTAGGCGGAATGGCTGTTAGTTACAGCCACCCCGAAAGGGTGCTGACTCTCAGATTTGCTATTGACACAAAGTTGGGGCACAATCTATGCCCAAAAGATCTCAGCAAGCTGGTGTGATGTCCACAGATAAAATATAGCAAAGAAAAATGCAAGGTCCTAGCCGGGCACAGTGGCTCATGCCTATAATCCCAGCACTTTGGGAGGCCAAGGTGGGTGGATCATCTGAGGTCAGGAGTTAGAGACCAGCCTGACCAACATGGTAAAACCTCGTCTCTACTAAAAATACAAAAAATTAACCGGGTGTGGTGGCGCATGCCTGTAATCTCAGCTACTCAGGAGGCAGAGGCAGGGGAATCACTTGAACCCGGGAGGCGGAGGTTGCAGTGAGCCGAGATTGTGCCATTGCACTCCAGCCTGGGTGACAGAGTGAGACCCTGTCTTAAAACAAACAAAAAATACAAAAAATTAACCGGGTGTGGCGGCGCATGCCTGTAATCTCAGCTACTCAGGAGGCAGAGGCAGGGGAATCACTTGAACCCAGGAGGCAGAGGTTGCAGTGAGCTGA